ATCAAAAAATTTACATTAGTGGTATACAGTGATCATCAGCTTGTGGCAGTAATGGAAAACCAGGTCACGACCCAATGGTTCGGGTGGTGGAATCCAAATAGATCCTATACAATGGTGGGATAGATCTGCATATTGCCCTACAATCGGTGTCGGTTGTGTCGGCAATCACCACCCCGATTCACTCGTTATCGGTGCTAGAATCAGAACGCATCTTCAAAAAATTTCGGCCGCGAGGGAATCAAAACACATCGATGTATTTGCTGCGGGTGGTGGAATACACCAGCATCTATACAATAGGTGGTATCATAACACAATACCCCTTACATAAGTGACAGTTGTGAGATCAAATACTACAATTGGTGCCTGTGGTGGAATCTCAGAACCCATACCGCTTGTGGATGTAAATTGGATCAGTTCGTAACAGCACTATAGAATCAAAATAGAACATAAAATTGGTGTTCAGTTGTTAAAATTCAGCACATTGGTGGCGCAATGTGATTTGCCACAACATTCCCATAAAGACGCATTGAAACATCTATTTGACATACTTCCTTCTAAATGTGAGGGATCATCCTTCTTGATGCAAAACCGAGTTCAAGAGCTCTATTATTTAATATTTATAGACCACCTGGAAGCTACTTACCTTTATCGATTTGCCCCATCAGACATAATCTCTAGCTAGTTTCCTTTCTTAGTAGATTTTTCTTTTATATATACAGTTCTGAACTTTATTTGATAAAATTCAGTCTAATTCTATTTTGAAATTGTAAAGAATACAATAAATTGAAATCTGAATTTGTTGAAAATTGTACTTGTTTCTCGGTTAAAATAACATGGAAAAATTAAAATATCATTTATTTTTGTTAATTATGTCGTCGATTAAGGCGATGTGCGCGGGTTCTCAGGATGGGAATGTGTGGAGAGGGCTCGACCAGTAGGGCAAGGATGAATCGAGGAGGTTGCCGAGAAACTTTGGAATGGGGAACGGTTCAGTTCTTTGACGAAAGGAATGTTGAAGTCATTGTGGATAGTGAGGTTAGTGACATATTAAGGAGTTTTGACGATTTATCTGAGGACTTTTGATTGGAAGGATTCGATGCGCTGGATGTTGGATGGCTTGGCAGAACCCACAGTTCCACTCCGTATGTCTAAAGTCACACTTGCCTGACATCAAACCCTACTATTCGATCCCCGATAACCCACCTCGTCGTAATCAGCGGTGTCCTCGATACCTCCTCCCCCCTCAATCTCTCACACCGAGGGCAGCATGTGCTGATTTCTCATGGCATTAGTACTCCGGGTGCAGTCATGTATCAGGTTAATTTAGTGCTGACATTCAACACGGATTTCAAGTTCTAGAAGTATTCGTAGTTGTAATTATATTCTGTTACGTTTTTGACTTTTAATTCTTGTGTGGATATTCCACGTCAATCTGCAGTCTAGGTGTAGTCAGTAGTAAGTATTTGACTTGAATGGAAGTTGGTGGTATACCTTTGGTGTTGATGTACAGGTGAGGGGAAAGGCTGTTCTTTCAATGTGAACGTATATATAGTTTTCTTCATTGTCCTCCATTGTTTGCACCAGTCCTTGATAATCCGTTCTTGGATGTTAGAGGTAGCTTGGATAGGATTCGAGTTAGTATAAATTATATAAAAGATGGGACGAAGAATGCTCCCTTGTGGGACGCCGGCTTGTATCGGTCTGATTTCGGAGAACTTGTGCCTCACGCTAAAGACTGCTTAGTCAGTTAGGTAGGATTTCAGGATAAGATAGATCAGGATGCGTTTGAGTTTATAAAGAATGTCCAGGTGCGACCATATCAAAAGCATGTACTACATTTATCAAATAACTCAATCGGTCATTTTGAAATGGGGACATCTCCAATTTTTTTTCACAAAATGCTTTTTTGATGGATTTCCGTTCTCTGATCGTTGGCTCAGCGATGCCTTGTGAAAAGGAGCCAAATCTCACCGTCGCAGGGTGTTGTAGTGAGACACCTGGCATTCACTTGGAAAACGAGTCATCTCTCGGAGATGGTACGTTGTCAAAATGAACAACTACTATTGACATACTTTTGAAAACCCAAGTTCATTTTGAAAATAGGTATTCTTTTTTTTTAAAGTTAATTTTCCTGTGCACAGGTAGAGTAGAAAGTAGAAAAAAAATATTCCTAACATTTCTACAAAATCCATTATATTTAGTGGTCTATTGATCAAATTACTTTTTTCAATTAATTAATCTTTTATGTAAAGTTTTGGTTGAAATGAAAAAGTTAGTGTGACGAGCGGGATTTGAACCCAAGACCTTCGGCTCAATACGCCGCTTCACGTTAGCTCAAGTGGTTCGAATCCCGCTCGTGACACTAACTATTTGTACAAAATTTAAATTTTTTAATACGTTTTTTGCATCTCCTGTAAAATTTGAAAAGTTGGAGATGGCCACTTTTCTAAATGAGCGATTCATTTAAAGTAAATATTGAAGGAATTGCAACCAAATTTAAGATGAAAGAAGAAGAGATCCTTAGGTGGTCATATTTTTCACAAATAACAAGAATTTGTAGTATATTTTATACTCTCAACCTTTGGAAGGATCGTTTATGATGAAAATGGGTATAACAAAAAAACAAGTGGTAAAACGTTTTAAATGTTTAATTGTATTGCACAAACATAATATGATATGTTCTTATTTTCATTTTTCTTTTTCTATAATACGAAGGATTTTTGGGGTTGACAATAACCGAAGTGGTTTTCCCTCTCACAATCATTCATGAACAAACGACGAGAATTAATTCATCCAACATGATTTGGATTAATTAAATTGCTGGTATTTTTATATAATTGTAAAACTTGTAACAACTATTTGGTCCTATAATTTTTTTTGTTAATTAATTGACTCTATCTTATAAAAAAAGACTACTACAAAATCGACACACAAAAAGAAACTTTATACATTAAAAAACGTGTTAATCATTTATGTAATTGGTCCTAAAAAAGGCTAAGGGGTTCATCTTTTGGAAAATGGAATTTCAATTTCTTGAAAACGAATGCCCCAGAATCGGTTTTACTTTTTAATTGGTGTTTCTAAACAGATTTACTCGGCAACCTGCGAATTTGTTCCTTACCACTTATAATTTACAACAATTTAAATAACAAATCTATTGTGCAACCATATTTCAGTCTTTTCCCACTGTTTTTTATTCGCATATTTGTACGTGAAATCGTTTTGTATGTTTATTCTTTATTCATTTTTTGGGGGGAAGGCGATTCAAAATCGGGTTAACTGGTCACAATAATACTGAATCGTACTAATTAAATATCAAACTCAAATTTGTCTTCTTTGTTTCAAGTAAAACCGATTTTATTTATTTATTTATTTACTTTTTGGTACAAATCTTCCGAATGAATTTTCCATTTCTCAAAATTGACTTTTTTTTACTTTCGCATTCCTTTTACTCCTAATACTCTTTTTTTTGGTTGTTAATTTTTGAGTTTTTCAAATTCATACATACATACATTTATATATATTTGTTTATTATTATAAAGGCACATAGGGGAGGACACATAAAAATCGGACTAATTAAAAAGCGTGGATCAACTTCAATTTCCTTCAATTATTGTAATATCAATTGATAATTAATTATTATATTAATTGAACAATTAATTAAGATCCCTGTTAAAGTGGTCTCTCTTTTTAAAAAATATTTTTTGGAGCTTTCGGTCATTTTTATTTTTGGGAAGACATTTAATTTTTTTATAATATTATAATAGTAAAAGGTATTGCTCTTTTTTTTCTTAAGTTTTGTGCTTTTTAATTTTTTTTTATATTTTAATTTTTATCTTATGGATTTTGGTGTTTATAAGCTCTTGAGGGACGACATATAGGGAATTCCTAATTTTTTTTACCCTTATTTTTTTTCTTTTGTTATTCTACAATGCAACTTTGGCGTTTCCTCGGGGCCGAAGCTGGAAAGCGTTTAAGGCAGTCGGTGTGAGGCATGTAGGATTTAGGGACATAAGTGGGCACCTTCGCCCTGGCCGGTCGTGATGTCGGGTACGGGGAGATCCCTACCTAAAAAAAATCTTTCAAGACATTCGTCCAAATCGGATTTGATATAGGGAAAACGATCTGGATATCAATTAATTATTAATTAAAAAAAATTGTTGATATGTTTTTGAAAAGCAGCGAAATTCATGTTTTTGTAGAAATTCGTCGTTGACGAACTTTCGACATTCATTTGGTGGCTAAAATCGTATTTAGCAGAATTGCTTAGATAGAAAAATAGAAAAAATAAACGGTTGGGTAAAATGTTAAATTAAGTGTAAAGTTCAATATCAATAAGAAACAATTAAAGTCGTACAGTAAGAACAGTTGTTTTGCACAAATCGTAAATCTTAAGTATATGGAACGTTGGAAGTTTTAATGGGAGTATTATGCAAATATTTGCATAAATAAGATATTTAATAAACGTTATCTTATGAGAATGTGGACTACATTATAAATGCTGTTTTTTTTTTTTTTTAAATAATAAGTCTAAAGAGATTCTATGGTCGTCGGTAGTGAGGACAATTATTTATAGAAGATTCATAAATGTTATGTGTTCCATAATTTGTTGAAGTCGTGAGGAGCGGTCAAGAATGAGGGAGTTTAGAAAAATATCTTCTTTTTTTTGTGCAGCGCTTCGACCTTTATTCGGGTCATCTTCAGGGCCTGCGCAAATTACAAATCATATGTTGATTGGAAAAAATAAAATTTAAGATGTAAATATAAATTTTGAACCAAGTATTTCATACTCACATAAAGTGTGCTGCTATTCTTGTGGTGTCATATTGGTTTTGTGTGAAAGTTGTGAAACATGAATCGTGACAACACTTTCACGCAAAACCAATATAACACCGCAAGAATAGCACTACACTTTATGTGAAATACTTGGTTAAAAATTTATATTTACATCTTAAATTCTATTTTTTCCAATCAACATATGTTTTGTAATTTACCCAGGCCCTGAAGATGACACAAATAAAAGTCGAAACGTCGGCAAAAAAAGTGTTTTTCTAAACTACCTCTTTCTTGGCCGCTACTCACGACTTCACGAACTAATTATGAAACAACTGGTCACTAAGAAACACAAACACGTTATGTGTTCCAATTATTCAATTGTTAAACTCGGAATTAAGGCTGGCCTACTGAGAGGAACTCCGTACCGAAAACCTGGGCGTACAGGGGGATTAACCGGATGAGAATTTGTAGAAAAAAGGGGCCTCGGCCCTAACGTCAAAACTGGTCCTATACGGTTGGGTGAGCGTTTGTGACAATTAAGGACTAAAGCCCTAAACAGGGCGGAAATAGTTTTTGCGCTATAAAGCCGCACTAGAGAACGTGAAGATTCTCGCAGGACTTTGATTTAGAGTCGCGGGCCCAGACCTTGCTCAGGAGGCCCTTGACTTTGAGACTTGCCGATGTGCGGGCGTTCCTGGCCTTCGGGAAGCGCTTGCTGAGACAAGGTGGCGGTGGAGAGGCCTCGGCGGCGTCCCCGGGTTTCTTCTCCTTTTTCAGCCTTATCTGCGAGACTATGCCGACGAGAAGTTCGTCCACGTTGTGGTTGAAGCCGACCGAAGTCTCGATGTACTTGCAGTCGTAGTCGGTCGCGAGGTTCTTCCCTTCCGCGCTCGTCACCACCCTCGACCTCACCAGGTCAGTCTTATTGGCGACGAGGATCACCGCCTTCGACCCGATTATGTCTCGCTTCCACAGGCTCTGAAGCAGCACTTCCGCCACTTTGAAGCTGTTCCTGTCAGAAGTGGAGTAAACGACGCAGTACGCGTGCAGACCGCTTGTGTAGTTTTCCACGCAGGTCGTAGGCTATAAACATTACTGACATTACAATCCGTCTAAATCTTTAAAGAATCGTTTGCCGAAGACTTACAGACATCTGTTGGCTCGAATGGTCGACAAACATCAACTCTGACTCTTCCCCGTCAAGTAGAACGGAAACAGTTTTGTCACCGAACTCGTCGTCTATAACAAACAATTGGATCAAGAAAAGATTAGTAGATTAGGTCAAATATTTTTAACTAAACCTATCTTTAAAAAATGAGACGTTCTATTGGATCCTAATAGGCATTTAGGGAACAAGGTAGTCAAAATCAAAGAGCGTCCGATTCTCGGTTGGTGATGCGATCCTGGGTTCGATTCTCAGCGTCACCTCTGGCATTTTCTTCAATAATTTGAATAAATAATTAGTGTTTTAAAGTGGACTGACATCATCAACCGATTTGCAGTTGTGTATATCTGTGCCTTTTTCTATTATATGGTAGTACCTCTCAGACTTATAAACTGATATGTACTGTAGAGGCATTTCCTTCTTCCTTCCCTTTCCCGGCTAAATCTTCATTTTTTTCTCTTTAAACGGCACTACACGATTTTAGAGGGGTGAAAAATTTTAAGGTTCTTCCTATTGAAAGTAGTTGGTTGGTCGCCACCATCCTAGTCTTATTAAGATTGCTCCGGTCTGTTTTGAGGAATTTCACCATCTTCATGTAATTTTGTCTGTTCTTATCCGAGATGAATGGAAACAGTCAAACAACAGACTCCCAACCGACGGATGGCACTATTTATATTCAATTATGCCAAAATGGTCATATCGATTCTCAACGAAATTGTCACCCAGTGAATTATTCTGGCATGTTAGTTTTTGCACTACTGTCACTTTCAGTTGACCGTACCCCCAGCTGGTTCATCAAAATTCTACTGATGTTCCTATTCCCTAAAATTAGTATGTATTTCGATCTAAACGCAAAACTTTCCTTGGCAAGGAAGAGACCGATAAATTGGCCAAGGAAAGTTCAATGAGGACACCTATTGGCCCTGAACCCTTGTGTGGCTTACCAAACTGCCAAAAACACTGATCCGTCAGACAATGGATTAATAATAAGTCCTCCGCTAAATGGGGATGCCCCAAGGACAGAGGCATGCGACAAAATTTATCAAAGGACCATCACAGAAACTAACACCAGAACTGTTTAAACTAGGACGTGCTAAGACTAGAACAATAGTTGGACTGCTGGGCCCTGCAGACTCCGGAGGCATATTTATAGGCTCAGAGAGGCAGAAACAAGCCTATGTAGATATTGCCAAGAAGAAAAAGAAACAGCAGAATACGTTCTCTGTTGGTGCGAAGGCCTATGTAGGCTGAGATTCCTAATCCTTGGAGAGGAAAAGTCAGGGCTTGAAGGATACACACGGGAGCCCTTGAAAAAGCTTTGGAATCTGGTAAAAAGCCTCAAGCTTAATGAAGAGCTCTAGATAAAAAATGGAGATGCACAATAGACTGGTCGCACAGATCGTAAAGAAGCCGTCTCCTATATAATCTAATCAAAATATTTTTACGGTCACAGACATTTTTCTCACATCCCAACCGCTTCTACAGATATGTTCATCTTCGATAACGATTAATTCTAAAACTGCTTCAAGGTTCTTCAACGTTCTCATACTGTTCCTACGATACTACATTGGTAATTTTAGTTACTAGAATGAGTACAATATTATGTTTAAGTGGATGATGCATACTGCTGGCGAGGTTGTATTTTGTTTATTACCTTTCTGTTACCTGTGCGTCTATGTCAATAGGACCTTGTTTTGAATATTTAGTACATTTTCTCTAATTCTCACTTTCTGCTTAGGGTTTCTCTATCAGGGTTGTAAGTTTTTTCGTCAAAGGTCTTCAGCAATGTATCACTATATCGTATTATGGGAAATCGAGGACTATCAGTATTATTATAACTTACAATAAGTTATACTATACTAATACAACGAGAGAACTCTGGTTTCCTAAAAAATGGAATTTTTATTTATTTTGTATTCCATTTAAGAATTTTTATGACCAACAGTTTTTATTAATTAAGTTTAAACTGTTTTGTATCATGATGGGATGTTTTTTCTTGCTTGTGTTAATAATTAACAGCCAAAAATAAAATGTTTTTAATATTAAAGCTTATATTGGTCAAATCTATGATTGTGGTCAATAAAATTGGGTTACCCTTTTAAGTCTATTATTGCACCTTGCATTATATATTTCTGTTCCTTTTCAGACTATAACGCATGTGGGTGAGCTTTTGTCCGGCCGTTTTAAAGGGATCGTTCAACTGTCACTAATGGGATTCGATCCGAAACGTGGTTGTCGTTCAGAAACAGCGAAAATAGATTTAAAAAATCGGACTTGGACGTGTTGTATGTTTTGTATAAATTCTTTTGTATATAGTTGAATTGTTTTACCTATACTGTTGTCGTACGAATGAAGGTACTCGGAAGTCATGAACTGAGAAATGAGAGATGTCTTTCCTACGGCGGAAGAGCCCAGCATGACCACTTTGTAGCTGTTCTGACCCTCGTTGCTGGAACAAGAGAGTACGGAGGACTGCCTCGAGCTCGGGCAGGTCTGCTTTCCGCTGCTGCAAGAAAAACATTTAGGACTTGCCCAGTTTCGAAGTGAGGTAGGAGACCAACCTCGGAGGAGTGGAAGCGACGGACTCCTTCGATTTGGGCCGTCTCGTCCTCAGGCTGTCCCCTTTGTTCACGACGCCCTTCCCGGTGATGGAAAAGTGCCTGAGGCGGTAGAAGGTCTCCTCTACTCCGGTGTTGGGCATCGAGGCGACCCTCGTCCTGGCCTGAGGCAGGCTCAGGAAGTTCGGCCTCGCCCTCGGCCTCACCGATTGGCTCCGCGAATGGTGAGGCGATCCGTATCTAGAAAAACGAGAGAAACGAGAAAGATCTTAAATTCCGTCACTCCAGGGGTGCTAAACTGTAATAGCAAGTCGTCCGAAATAATCGAACCAGCCTCTTTATACACAACAATCACTTGTAAAATGAAATAACAAAAAGAACATTGATTAACAAAAGAAAAGTCTACAGAGTTAGCGTTAAGGCGTGTCATGCACCACATTAGGCCAATATGCCTCAATTGAGCTGTCAGTAGTTAGAGTGTTAACACACCCTACAACTTTAAATTTGTTCGACTTTTTATGTCTGTAAAATCTTTAAAAATTGAAACATTGAATAGTAAATATGACCTAGAAAGTAAAAAGAAAAGAATCCATAGGTTTTCTGTCTCGTTTCATTTTATCTTTTAAGCATTCTTTTCTTTTTCCCCCTTTTTTGACAATAAAAGAGGTTTAAGTCTATGAGATTGAAAAGTGCATATGATGGAACCCACTCCAGGATTTCCAGGGAGTTGCAAGTGCAAGCTTGGAAAAGGGTTAAAATCTCAAAAGATATACTGGAATAATTTGAAAAAAGATAAACACAGGGTTTTTGACTTGATAAAGTACGATTTTGATTATTAAGAGAAAAAAATAGGCAAAAGGCAAAGAAACAGCCCATACTCGGGATGTCGATCTGTTTTCGAAACCCTCACTGACTGACTCCTAGAGTGGTGCGGCGAACCGTATCTGAAACAGAACCGTAATTTTGTTTTACACAACAGAACTTCAACATTTAATGTGAAGGAAGACGGAGAAATCATTTTTCCGATCTGTAGTCACAACAAATAAAAATTTTAAAAATAACATAAAATAGGACGCTGCCCTGAAAAAGAAAAATGTAAATTAGAAAAAAATCAATGTATTGGAATTTCCCGAATTTATGGCCCAATTAGATCTTATCCTTTCATAAATAAATCGCAATAGGTTTTTTTGATTGGTCAGAAGGATGATTTACAGTTTTAATTATACTTTTATTGAATTATTTCCGTTATATTTCAATTCAAATGGGTAAATACGCGGAAATGGCCGTTGTATTTCTAACGACGTAGGAATTTAATTCCTTATTTAATGGTAGTTCGGGGATAGTACACTGTATAATCCGTTTAGCTGGAATAGCGGCTAGCGAGTCTAGTTACATGGGGAGGACATGGCTAAGAAGGCTTACCGATCGCGTTGGAATATCGATTCTCGGTTAGCCTGAAGTACCAGGTCGTGCAATATACCATCATAATTAATTAATCCGACTCGCTTTTACGTCGTTATTTTGTTCCGCCTACCCGCACTTACGTTTATATTCCCTTTGAATGTTTCCGGCAGTAAATTTTAACACGCGGTTATTATTAACGGAGTGGTAATTCTGATATGTACGATCTTTAGGAAAAATCTGAAATAAATTTAAAAGCATTTAATAAATTTTAGGGGAATTTGGAAGTTCGGAAGAACTCACTTCATGTCGAATTCCTGGAGCTGGTCTACGGTGAGGGTTGTGGCGACTTCTAGAAGGCGCATGTTTTCCTTCCTCTTCTGGCTTCTGAGGTCGACGGGCTCTTCTCTTTCCGGGGAGTTGCCGCAGACAGATGGCTGCTGAATTAAGATACAAGTGATCTCCTTCTTGGTCTTTATGGTCGGCGAATCCGGAAGTGGGGGCGAACTTCGGAGGTCGACCGAGTCGCCGAACTCCGAGTCGATGGTCATCTGCTCCGCCGCGAAGCCGGAACTGCCTCTGCCGTGCGGTGTCCTCTCCTCTTCCAGATTCGTCCTCGCGTAGCGCTTCAGGATCTTCAGACGCTTCGGGGGCAACTTGCTCGGCGGGGGGGACGGCTGACGGTCGTCCGGGAGTTGGATGCTGCCACCCTGGGGGCCCTCGTCGTCCGTGTCCACCGTAACCATCGTGATCACTGTGTTCGACGAGTCTGTCGAGGTGTTGGTCGACTCGAGCGACGACTGCAGTTTCGCCTTTCGTGAAGCCCCGCGAAAGTGGAGACGGCGAAGTGCCGTCGAAGCGCTCGCTATCACATCCTCGCTGAGCTTTTGCGGCGACTTGTCATCCTGAAAAAGTACAAATAATAAGTTCAGTATGACTCGCTCGACAGACCACGCAATATCCACTGATGAGGTGACAATTAGGATTATTGGTTCACCAGTGGCTAAGATGGGACCTAAACTCCATTTATAAATCCTCCATTAATCACCTTGTTGTAATACGTCGGACTTCAATTCTAAAGGCTTATAAGGAGGGCAATAAATTACAACTTACTTTCGGCAAGTCCGAACTGTTGGCCTAATTCAGATAAATAAAGCACGTTTATTTCTGTTTATTAAAAAATGTGCCAGTATTGAAAATGAAATTGAAATATTGCAAAAGTTTATTCACGTCCATATTTTAGCCATAATAACCCTGCGAAGTGCTGATTAGTGTTGTCGGCGTTAAACCCTGCTGCATACAAGAATTACTTTACTTTTTTACTGTACCGATATTGAGTATTGAGGCTGATACAAAGCTCATCGAAAAAAGTATAGGTATAAGAAACGGAAAATGTAAAATAAACAAATTAAAACTCAATCAGTACTTTTAAATATGAATGCTAACAAAAACAGATATAAGTGACGAATTTTGTGAATAATGTTGGTTATAATCTACCGCCTTTGAATTGGGGCATTATTGTTTTTGGGCCTTTCTTGATGTGGTCTAGGGTTTTGTCGGGTTTCCACCTGGGTTTTGTTTTTGTTGACATGGGCAAGTATTGTTTTCTTACATCCCATACCCTCCTCTAACCATCACTCTAACCTGACAATTTTAATTGTCTCTTCTGAAAAATGATACCTTTGGACGTTAATGTGAAACAAATAAGCTAATTAAAACTTATTTTAAAAAGAAAGGAAAATGTATAGACACATACCACTAACTGTAACCAAATCATACCCAGGTACGCGCGCAATTAAAAAGTCTAGGAAAAGGCTGTGCTAGGATTCGAACCTAGGACCACTTGCGTGCCAAATATGAGTCGCCATGACCAATCCGCCATTGCTTTCCCGTTAGCCTTGATGTTATATTTACATTAAAAAAAAGAAGGCGAGTTGAAATAAAGAAAAACACGCAGTTCCTTTCTAACGTTTTCGAGGATATGACCCCTTCATCACTTTGAAACAATCTGTGTTTAAAATTATTGCTTTAATAAAATTGTATGAGTTTTCTTTGCACCCGCTGTTGTGAACTCATTAAAAAAGGCAAGGAATTGCTATTTAACCAGTTTTTAACTACTATTATTTCATCCTTAATATTTATTATAACATCATAATTCTTGCCAGAAAAAGGAAAAGCTGTATCTTTAGCGAATCACAATATTTTACCATAAATTATTCAATTGTAACAATTTAAACAATGTTTGTAAATCCCTGGCCCTGAAGATGATCAGTAAAGATCGAAACGTTGGCCCGATAAAGAAAATGTTTTTATGAAACCTACCACACTACATCTCACAATTTCTGAATAATGATCGACTAACGGTCACTAATCACCACACATTTTACCTAAAGTTTTATTTTAAGTAAAAAATTGTTAATATAAATTAAAAATAGTACAGACCCTAAAACACTTCTCTGTGGAACATCTTAATTAATATAAGAACTATGTTATACCGACTGTTCAGGACATACTCTCCATTTGAATTGATAAAATTAAAAAAAAACAAATTTGCCTCAACTTATTCATCTCTTGGGCCAAAATGTTCGTGCAGAATAAAGAAGAGAGATATAAAACGAACTTATCAGCGTGACAAAGATTAATAATAGGATAAAGTGTCTTAAGTCTCTTAGCTATACTGTTGGGCATAAGGTTCTGATAACCGATCATTTCAATCTCATTCATCAATCATTCAATCAATTTGTGCTGATGATCATGAAATATTTTGTAATTGTCTGGAATGATCATTCTTTGTACGATTGGTTGAATTCTAGAGTCGAACCGAGGTACAAGATGACTGTGACGTGATGCGGTCGAGATTGTAATCTTATCTTTGAGAAGGGTTCTCTCATGTAGTCATTAGCATACTGAAGCATAAATCGGGCGAAGATGCTGAATAAGAATGCAGATTAACCGGGGCCCTGAATCGATTCGGGGGCTTTTACGCAATTTCAAGCGATAAATTGCGGATTTAACATTCCGCCGCTGTTCTCGGACAAGGGTTGAATTTCATCCTCGAACGATCTGAATTTTCCACCCCCTTCGATTTCCCCGACGAGAATTGTTCACGCCTCCAGACGTGTTTGACCCGGATTCACTCGCGTGTCGCGATAATCGACCCGTACAAAAGGAAGTCCGAGTTTATCAATGAAGGGGGGCCCGTTTCACAAAACGGAGGCGGGGGCGGCTCGCGATAAATTCAAGGCGGGGGCGTTCAACCCCTCGTCCTTTCATTGCCCCTCGGGAAGGTAGGTCGTGGAAACTCACTTTCACCGATCGTGTGAGAATGAATTGTTGAGCACTTCGAGCAAGTTAGCCAATTGGCAAACTTTACCCACTAAATCGTTGGCAGATAACCGAATCGAGAGTAATTGTCATTGATATATAGCTTTCCTGAAGAAGAAAATTTAATTTATATGAGGAAATCTCCCGGCTACGATTTAATTACTCCAACAATTCTCTCTCCATTTCTGTATTGCAGTTCTGGGAACTTCCTACTTTTCCACCCAATCGAAATATCCGTATATCGCATACCCACAAGAATAGTGACACAACTCAACAAAAGATAATTTTACAGGAGAGACAAATGGAAGTTTACTTTTTTACTTATGTATTAAGTACACGCCATTACGGTTGTTTGCAATAAAAACTGTCATGATCCATCAATATTGTCTTTCGTTTCTCCACGACTTAAGATAAAATACAAAACTTAAGAAATCCAGCTGTACTACCCCTTTCTGAACTGTAACAATTTTCTTGCCTATATTGGCTCTCGATAATTTGTTTGCTCTAACGATAATGGTGGTCGATGTATGACTGTAAGGGTAGTATTTTTTTGAGGTAGTAACAGACAACATACAAACCTAACAAACGAGCTAAATATCCATGTAGTAAAGATTATTTTTGACTCAAATTTGCTTTACCCCTGGAGTCAGAGCTAATTAGTTAATTTAAATTCAAAATTAATTATTGAAATAAAGGTTTTATTTATTATTAAAAATATTGAAATTAAAACATTAAAAAATTGTTGAAACTATAAAATAATGTAAAAGTTAAAAGGCAACATGGTTAACAAATTATGAAAAAAAACTATTATAATTAAAAATCTTATTAAAATAAAAATGAAACTAAAATAATTGACGAACTAGATCAAGGCGTGGTCTTGAAGAAAAAGCAAATTCAGTTGTTACTGTCAAGCTTTCGGCCTATTTTAAGGTCATCATCAGAGCCTATATTAATTTCACATTACGAAAAACAAATTTGTACTTATTTTATTTAACAATTGTTTTTCATAATGTGAAAATGTGACTCCGGTACAGCATAAAATCCTTCACTAAACAAAACAAAAAACTGACGTAACTCGAAATGGGCCACTTTCCTGAAGAATATTCACACCGATGCTTTAAAGCTTAACACAGAACTAAGATATGCCACTTTTCGTGAATGGTGACGGTACGTTCCCGCCAATTCGAAAGTGAAACATAGTCCACCTTAAGTCCACCTACAGTTTTATCATTTTTCCTGTAGCATCCCGATTACTTAACCTATTATATTTTTTACCTAAGGCGTTGGTTGAGATGAAAAAGTTAGTGTCATCAGCGAGATTCGAACCTGCGACCTTCGGCCTAATACGCCCCTGCTTTAACCACTTGTAGTAGCTCAAGTGGTTAGAGTAGCAGCTTGTTGAGCCGAAGGCCGTGGGTTAGGATCCCTCTCGTGACACTTGCTTTTTCATCTCAACCAAGACCTTAAATGGAAAATATAATTAATTAAAACTTTTACTACTGTCCAATCACCTCGGCATAATGGGCCAATTAATCATAAAAGGCATTTCCGGAAAAAAAGAAGCCCGCTACTTTAATGGATAAACGTACCATATCACAAATTTGGATTCCGATCCCTTCATTCCAGTGCACAACTCTACCGAGTTGATGTCATCCCTTCTTCGCTGGGGCACTTCTTGGTTAAACAAGGTCGTCCATCGACATCCTTGTTGAAGTTCTTGAAACGTCTTAAAAGAATCCTCTTTAAACGAATAATACAACTCGTACAATCATCAAACACTATCGCCCATTTCTACAATTTGATTTTCGATATATTCACTCTACTACGAAGGGGCGTCGTTAGCCGCAACGGTTAAGGCGTTGACGCGGCGCTCATCACGGTTGGGAGGTCCCCAGTTCGAATCCAGTAGCCCTCCATTCTAACTCGACATACTTGCAAATGGGATTTAAACACGGCGACTCCTCTGAGATGACATCTCTTTCTTGTTGGAACGGAAACTAACATGGCTCAAGCGTTTGGTTGTCTATGGCCCAATAAACTGCTATAACAAATCAACACTTAATAAATCAACCCCATTTTTTTTCCTTCTTGGAGTTGGTTGATGAAGCGTCCACTTTTTAATTCAATACACTCTTTCTATATTTCGATTCTAAATTCATTTTACATTTGGAAGATCAACCAAAATTCAACATGTCAATTTTATTGTATGCCACTACCGACAAATTTCAAACGCATCACTCTACGTAGATAGATGTCCATCCTGGAACCTACAGAAAGAAACAACGAGTCCTGAGTTTCGGTCAAAGTTTCTGATTTAAAAATAATACTAGGGAGCTTCGGTGGCCGCAACGGTTTAGGCGTTGACGCGGCGCTCATCACTGTAAGGTAAAGGTCCCGGGTTCGAATACAGCGGCCCTGTACGAGAATGATCGGTTTTTGCCAAAAAATCTCGAGTAATTAAAAAACGGTTGAGAAATCGGGCAAAGTGGAAGACGTCCAATTGAAAGCTTATTGAAATTTCCTGTCGATTGCTACATGGCGCCGCTCCAGGACGCTTTCCTGACTCCACAGCTCAGTTTGAAGTTTTCGTAAAAAGTGCAAAAATTAACATTTCCCGAATATTTGCATTTGCTGATGAATGACTGAAGCTAGGAAAACATTAAAAAAACATCTTGTTCAGCGCAAAATTTTCTAAAAAATGAAACAGCGCAGTCCTGTGACAAAAGGCTGAGAAAATATATATTTCAAAAGTTGGCCATTTTTTCCTGCAAAACCAGGTGTTCGGTTTTTTAATGGGCAGTGTATTTCATAAATCATTTAAAAAAATAATTCTAACACTTTCATTTCTAAAATGTACTCATTTAGACATCCAGAAAACCCTCCAAGACACCTGAAACGTCCTTCTGGATTGATGGAAGAGATTGATATTTGTTAATTAGGTCTAATTCTTTTTTGTATTTAGCGTTGGTTGTTAGTCATGATGATAAAGTTGTGTAACGTTTTTTATGATGTAATTAATTAAGAAGGATTGTCTGAAGGGCAGGTTGAACTGAACTCACCTTTTGTGTCTGATTCGGGTAGTTGGCACCCCGGTTCCGTAGACGGGAAAATGCTGATCTGATACCTTCCGTTCTGACGAGTTGACCCTACGCCTGGAAAAGGGAACACACGATATTACACTGACGCCCAAGGGGATAGACAGGGTAAATCTTGTTAAAACGGGAATAAAAGAAGGAAGATTATAAGCGCTGTCACGTCCCTCGATCTTTCAAGTCCCATGCTTCAAAAATCAGCGATAACGCGTGGTAAAAAGCCGACTCGGCATATAAAATCAATACTTTTATTAATAAAACGGTAAAGTTTTAATATTCGTAGGGAGATAATTGCGGATTTCGTGATTATTATTTTTAGATAAAACACACGTGTAATCGATTATTATTTGATAATTCGATCCACCTTTGATAGCTATTACGTCAATACTTCCCAATCTAAAGAATTATTAATAACTTCCACATTAATGGCCTAAACTATCTGGTTTTTCTTAATTTTAAATATTTTTTTATAGAAATGTATATCTCTTCCTCTACTCGGATACCATGAATATTACAAGGCATTCTTTTCCTTCCTGGGCTTCTGGTTGTTTAATTATTACCCATGTTGAATCTTCTTTTTACTTATTTATCAATACTATTCCCTCCACCTTTTTTTTACTTTTCCTCTTATAATAAAAGAAAAAAAGCGAAATTTGAAAAATTAATTGCCAGGGCTTGGCCGATACTCGATCGTGTGAGATAAACAGACCAGGCGGATCCGTTTGGAAATTGGCGCTAATCTCGCAAACCGTCTGTATTGATTTGGAAAATCACAATGAGGCAATTTTAATCTAATGCCTTTGGAATTTTCCCCCGTCGTCACAGAGTGTACGATGAAAACTTGGAAAATACGCGTGAAAATCTATTCGGATTAGTTTTATCTATTTTCTGTGTAATTATACGCGTTTAAACCCACGAACAATAAAGTCCATAATCCTGATCAAAATTTAAGAAAAGCGATAATGAAAAGTGTTTTAACAAAATAATTTACAAAAAATAAAAGCTCAGTTTATTCAGAATGATAAATGGTTCAATTCCAGCATATTCCAATATTATTTACTAAACGTCTCCTTTGTTACATAAATCCTAAAGTTTTCCTTTAAATCCAACTTAATGAATAATTCTGAATAAAATTGCTTTTATTATTTTAAGTTTTAATTTTCTCAAACATGATTACTCCTTCTATGGACGTGGTTTTTGTTATAGCAGTTTTTTAATTTTTGTAAACAAAAAAAAACTAAATTCTAAATGTTTAAAGATACATATCTTTTGGATTGATAACAATATTGTATTCGAAAGAAATTTTTTTTATAAACCTTTGACATAAAGTACAAGTTAAACTCGATATTCCGCCTTGTATAAATTGCCCCTGTACCCTTCTGCAGATGACGGCGGGCTTGAACAAATTGAATTTTTGTAATCCGATTTTGTTTTGCCGTTGAGAGTTTTGCTACCTACTAATTACACCAGACTCAGCTTCGACACTGACAATTTTCTCGTTCTAATTACACCGGGGATTTTTTCCACCTTCCTACCCGGGGTTCACATCAATTTCTGACAAGAAAACAAAGGTTTTATAAAATTTTTTTTATAGAAAAACATACGGTTTATAGGTAGAGGGAAATTGTGCCCGTGCCTGTAACGGTACAATAGGGAGACGTTTTAGATAATCTGTTTTGGCGGGTCATCTTTCAAAAAGGGGGAACCATTTACTTCCTTGCAGTTCATTTATCGTGAGGTAATTCTGATATATCGTCCATGTGAATCGATTACTCTTTTCTTTTCTTTTTTTCTTTTTGTACAGTAACTGTCTGAAAACTTATTGATTATCGAATTTTTCTCAGTGCTGATTGTCCTTTGACAATCAGCGTCCACATCGGTTCCACGTTTTCTTATTCCCTTTGCATCTCGCATGTAGGATATTTCAGTTCGAAGATTTCGACCGAAATTTTCTTTTTTAATTTCCCGATCGTTCCTCTTTCTCGTTTTTGATTCTTAACCCTAAACTAAATAAATCTGGGATAATCAATTGTCGTTTTGTTCTAATAAAAAAATATATAGTGCCAGTGGGTAATATCATGCAACCAGGGTAATTTTTATGGGTAACAAACTTGTTTTTCCTTATAATTATTGTATTTAAGGAGGAAATGGGATAATAAAGGAGTATTGTTATCGCGCCTCTCGCTCGCCTCTAACTATGATTAATAGGGTGAATTTCGTGCATTGGATAAAACTAATTGCTGGTACTCATTGTGTTGAAATAATACTCACCCCTTTTTAATCCTTCCAAATGTCATTAAACCTCTCCTCGCCCAAGCACATCACAATGAAAAATATTAAAAGACCATAGAAAAAAATCGACGATCGTAAAGTAGTAACTATTAATGCAGTACAAGAGGCGAAACACTGTCTCCCTCGAGTTCTTGATTTAAAAAAAAAATTCGAAAATCTCAGACAGAGAGACAGAAAAAAAACAAGTTTGTTTTCGAGTATAAAGGCGAAAGTCTTCAGCAGGTTGCTTGTTTATCTATTTTTCCCGTTCTTCAACCTTCCCGCTCCTCTCTCGAGTGGTGTCCGTCCGTGTGTGAGCCCGAGCGGTGGCGGCGCCCGTCAAATTAAACGAAGGAAATAGAAGGAAAACAACAGAGAGGTGAAACCCAAGAGAAGAGAGGAACGAAAACCGACACCGTGAGAGATCCTGTGGGGCGAAGGGGGGCGCATTTCCCAACGTTGTTATCGACTCCGGGGAGGGTCATGCGCCCTCCCCGCCCCCGGGGGTGGACATCACACTCCCACCGTTAAGTCGAGAAGATCGATTATATCCTCGATATTTACTTTTCGTAGCCCGCGAAAATTGAAATATTCACTTCAGGTAAAATAATAATAGGACACATAGTTTGTTTGTCTTAACGGGCATCTTCAGAGTGTATTCTAGTACAACAACGAACATACAACTTTAGGTATAAACAGAACTATGTCATTTATTTGATATGCGCAGACCAGATAGTAAAAATAATATAAATTAAATTCCAACATGAACACAGAAGACACACACATATATAACCACAACATACACTTTGGGTACATGCATATGCATAATATAAAATGTTTAATAATAATTTATCTGTAGCGTTACATATTACTACGGAAATTAGAAATATAATATTTTTTTATGTACGGCTTTTTTCTCCCAGTAGCACTTGGAGGACGCAAGGAGGACTGCACAAAGGTTAAGGTGAAACCATTCACCGCTGCTATTTAATATAAAAAGATTTGGTGGGGGCGACACGATTTCCTTTAACGCGACGAGGAGGGGTCTCGAAATGGTCAAACGTAGAAAAAGCTTGGGCAGTTGGGTTCAGTCTGGGTGAAAACAAACACAGAATCCCCCATCACAGAATTGATCCAGAAAAGACAAAAGAAGTGGATAATCTCAAGGGGAGCTTATACTAAAACAATCCCCATCACACACCGCAAACCCACCGTTATTATCAGAGGAGAGATAGGACTTTTTACCAATTCATGGGCATATTCAATTATGATCCCATTTGTAGATTATGCAATGAGGAAGAAGAAACAACCACTCGTATCATATTCGAATGTGAAGAAACCGCTCAATGGAGACATAATCGGGGATTCTACATGCAAATGGAGATGTAATATTCGGGGTGTAATATACTGCGCCCTTTAAGAGCTATTGTATCCCCTGTTCTCTGCCTAAAACACATCGAGTCCTATTTCATCAAAAAACTTGATTAATAGGCTCGGTTTCAGTGGGTGAAGCTCTTCTATGGTCACATTGTACATCCCAAAACACTTCCTCCTGCGGGCATTCGTAGCACCGCAGTTTGTTAGTAGATTGGTTGGTTGTCTCCTCTGCCTCTTTGCAGAATCTGCATGTGCCGTCTTGGATTATTACAATCTTCTTTAAGTGTTCATTTAGCTTGCAGTGTCCTGTTAAGAATCCTATTAGGATTCGCAGTTTATTCCTGCTTCCTTTGACTCATTTTGTAATTTCTTTTCTTCCGAAGTTTATTAAGAGATTCTTGGATGAGTGAATTCCATTGTTCCTTCATTTTCTTTTTGTCCTTCTGTCTGAGGTACTCATTGATAGTGTGGGTCCGACGTCACAGAAGGGTTCGGATGTGAGGTGTAGCAGCTCATTTCCTGGCAAGGGTGTCCGCTTTCTCATTGCCTTCTACTCCCATGTGTCCTGGGACCCCAACAGAGGCTACCTGGGATTTTAAGAAAACCCATAGAAAGGAATTGTTGCAACGACAATCAATGACATACTCCTTAAAAGAAGGATCGAATCAACAGACCCTAGACTAACCCCCATTTCCAACTCTTCTTTCATCATCAAGGTTAGGATGGATCAAGAACTTGGTGTGAAGTTAGGATCAGTCCTACAGTGTTAAATCCTGTATACCATACATACTGATCACTTTCTTATATATCTCAACACAATTGTGGTGACAGGTTGGCTTTGCGAAACAGAAAACGGTTTGACACCCATTCACGGTCTTGCATTATTGTATCCTGAGATTGAACCCCAAACTGGATTTTTCTTTTGAAGGCGCGAACATTGTCATTAGCATCGAAAGCTGTGATACTCTTCTCTTGCAAACAAGGACTCATCTCATTAATTTTACATACGATAAATACAACGTTACACATTGCCATTTCTCATCATTGGCCAAAAGTTGACCAATTTGTCATTGTGGTCCATCAACAGAGGGCAGACTTCAGATAAAACCTGTAATCGTGAAAGTGCTTTAACATCATCACTATTTGAATGCATAAATGGTTAAGCATAAATATTCTTTGCATATTTCCCACGAAGAAGCTCAGTAAAAATATTATTTTTCCCACAAATAAGTATCGACAGGTTTCTAAGTTGATGAGCATGTTCGGAAATCAGGTGTGAACATTATTGGATTGTACACTAGGTAGCACTGTCCTTTCTAGTTGCTGCTGTAGAGTTGATTTATTTACTTTGACCTGCTGGACTGGCAGTATTATTTTGTAAATGTACTATTTTGTTTAACTTATCCTGAATGATTTAATTTAAATCGAATATAAGCTATTTTTATGGTCTTTCATGATGATCGAACAAGTAAATGAAGAAATTTCATGAAGTACATACATCTTTGTCCATCAAATTAATCCTTTCAATTTCAATTTTATTTTCAAATAAACCGTATTTAATTTCAAATTAACTTTTTTTTACCGTCACATTTTTTTAACCTTTTTTTAATCTTCAAATAACCATTTTTAATTTAAAGTTTGCCGTTTTATCTTCAAATTAACCTTTTTTTTACTTTCAATTTAACCATTTTTAATGTCGGGTTAGCCGCTTGTAACTCAAAGAAAATTTTTTACCTTCAAATAACTTTTTTTTAAATTCCAACTTAGCCATTTTTAACTTCAAATTAACTTTTTTTGCATTCCAATCATCCCATGTATAATTTCAAGTTAGCCATTTTTACCTCCAAATTAACTATGTTTAGTTTCACGTTATCCGTTTTTATCTTCAAATTAACCATTTTTTACCTTCAAATTAACCTTTTTTACCTTCAACTTAAATTTTTTTATCTTCAAATTAACCTTTTTTTACCTTCAAATTAACCTTTTTTACCTTCAACTTAAATTTTTTTTATCTTCAAATTAACCTTTTTTTATCTTCAAATTAACCTTTTTTTACCTTCAAATTAACCTTTTTTACCTTCAACTTAAATTTTTTTATCTTCAAATTAACCTTTTTTAACCTTCAAATTAACCTTTGTTACCTTCAACTTAAATTTTTTTATCTTTAAATTAACCTTTTTTACCTTCAACTTAAATTTTTTTACCTTCAAATTAACCTTTTTATACCTTCAACTTAAACTTTTTATGTTCAAATTAACCCATATTTAATTTCAAGTTAGCCGTTATTATCTTCAAATTAACCTTTCTTTACCTCCAAATTAACTATTTTTAATTTAAGTTAGCCGTTTTTATCTCCCAATTAACCATTTTTCAATGGAACAATTATTGAATGTGTGTATTCAAGTGATTGTTGTAAAATTTTGGATTGAAAACTTTGTAATCATTTCATAATGGAATATTTGGCCGATCCGTAAGCTTGGCACCCGTACATTCAAGTAGGTGTATGTGTATGAGGAAAGTTTTGATTTTAATGGTAATTTTTATTTTCGGTTGCGTAGGTAATAAAGCATTTTGAATCAATCGTTTATTGAGTGTCTGTTTTGAATCGCGTGTGTGGCTTCAAAGTTGGTCTTCTATTAAATAAGTCCTAAATAGTTAACTTTGTCTGATTGAGGAAAAATTTCATTGTATAAATATATGTTAGGACAAGTCTCACGACGGAGTGTAGATGATGACTTTGAGGGGTTAAACTTTATTTTCCAAAGGTTGCTCCATTTTTCAATTGTTGATATGAGGTTTTGTAACATAAATGAAGCTTGTGCAGAAGTGGGATGACTTACTAATAAGGCGGTGTCATCGTGCGTATGTGTTATATTTAAAATGTTAAATTTTAAATTTAAAAAAGTTAATTTGAAGGGAAAAAAGTTTAATTTGAAATGAAAATCGCTAGTTGAAGTTAAAACAATTTAATTTGAAATTTCAAAAGGTTAATTTGAGGGAAAAAATATTAATGTGAAATGAAAAACGTTAGTTGAAGTTAAAACTGTTTAATTTAAAATTTCAAAAGGTTAATTTGAAGTAAACAAATGTTAATTTGAAGGAAAAAAGATTAATTTGAAATGAAAAACGTTAGTTGAAGTTAAAACTGTTTAATTTGAAATTTCAAAAGGTTAATCTCAAGTAAACAAAAGTTAATTTGAAGTTAAAAATGGTTAATTTGAAAGTAAAAAAAAGATTAATTTGAAAGGAAAATGTTAGCTTGAAGTTTAAAATGTTTAATTTGAGATTTAAAAGGTCAATTTGAAATGTAAGAAAAGTTAATTGACGGGAAAAAACTAGTATATTTTAAATGGATTTTGAATATAAAACCACAAATATAATTGTATACACTGGTGTATTTATACATATATGTTTTATTTATTTTTACAATAATATTTAACATTGTTATTACAATAATTAAACTTTTTTCATATAATAACGCGTATTTATATAATATATCCTTTCATAATTTTAACTGGGAGGGCATTTTTTTAATCCCATAAGCGTTTTTTTAAATGTATTTTCATTTTTTATTTTGAGTAGTTTTATATTACTAAAAACACTGATTATAACATATTTTCTGTTTTTATTTTGTGAGTATAGGTTCTTTGTGTGTCAGACGAATAAAGGATTCGGGCGTTTAAATTTGTCAGAGAGTGACTAAAATAAATAAATAAATAAAAAATACAACTGTGTTGTAACCATGTACAAAAGTCTTCATATAAAAACCAATCAGTTCTCTATGGTGATTTTCGTTAATACATCCTTGTATAAAAAACTCAGTACAACAAATTATTTATTACTGCTTCTCTTTAAATTAATTACATTAATGAGCAAAATTTTTATCACGCAAAAGTCTCTCAAATTTTTTTAAATCTTTTTTTTTATTACTTATATTATTATTTAGTATTCCTTTAAAAACTATTCGATTTAAATTTTTCATAATTAGATTAACTTGCTTTTATTTCAATAAATATTAGTATTCTACTGTTTATAAAGATATGTATTCAGCTATGACTTTATAAGTTTAAGTCTGACTGGTTGCCGATTGTCCACACCTGATAAAATTAAGTGGGCAATAAAAAAAATCCAACACGAGTAAAAAATCACAACGTTAATATAAAATAAAAAGAAAAATACAAAAATAAATTAACGGCAGTTTCAGGTTTTTTCAATATTATGATATGTCCAAGTTAGAACAATTGATTTTTTGTATAATCGTATCACTATTTTTTCTATCGACTAATGGGACAATCGGCGATCCACAGTTATCAAATTTATAAGAAATCCTTTCACAATTTATAAATATTATAAAGATATATTTTTCTATGTATATATTCTAAGTTTACATTCTGTATAATTTTTATATCTTAATATAAACAATATATCACATAAATAAAGTATATAAAAATGTCAAAAGAAAAGACCATTTTATCGAAAAGATTTTTTTTTATTAAACATATTGAACTGATGAACTTTAGAGTATCAGCCACAACATCGATTTAGCGTGTGCCCTAAAGGCCATTTTCTCTGGAAAACCAGTGCTTATACATTAAAAAATAAACTAACTTTAAACACTTAAACTGTTCAAATTTGACAAATCAAAATTGGCATGGATGGGAAATCCGTGAGAACGGGGCCTGCCTTTAGGAGAGAGCGACGAAGCGAAAATATTTATTATACGAGTCAAAAACTCTCGCGGCCCCGGGGGCTCGTCTCGCGATTTCAGCTGTGTTAACGACATCAACAAACCCCAGACGATTTTTGTGCTTATTGAATATATAGTTTAGTTCTCCTCCTCTTGTGTGTGCTTTGCGATGGCGAGAAGGATCATTGTCAGTTCTTTCTTGTTGATCTTGCCGTCCTGGTTGTAGTCCACACCTCTTAGGATGGTCTCTTCGAACTCCGCGAGGTCCTGAGTGTCGTAATCCTGAGGAAGGTACATCCGATCAAATACATTTTCTATTGTATGCCAGTGAAATATGAAGAAAATTGAAGATCATACATAAAAAACCGTGTAAAGCTAAAGTAATTTGGGCTTATATTTTTAACGGTATAGCCAATTTCTGAATACAATTTCAATTTCCAAAGCCAATTTCAATACAAATCGTAAGTTTGAAAGATCTCATTAGTATAGAAATGGAGGGTGTAAGAAAATAATATGGCGAGAAGTCGAAATTTGTCATTGACAGTCCAAAACTGCAATGATAAGAGGACCAAAAGGTTCAGGAAACCAAAGGAGGACCAAAAGGTTCAGGAAACCAAAGGAGGACCAAAATATGAAATTTGTAATTGGTGCACCTTATAAAAATTAAATCTTTCATATTTCACGTTGTGAAAATAAAATATTTAGATACTAGTTTTGGTTATTAATGTGAGATTTCTTCTTTACGTTATCTGGGTTATGAACTGAAGTCTTTCCGATCCTGGTCCGTCTACCCTCTCTGTTTTGGCATGCCAGAAGTTTCAGCTTTTTGCCACCTCCAGCTTTTTATTAATTATTATTTATTTTAATTAATTATACTTTTTATTTAAGGGGTTGGTTGAGATGAGGAGTTGGTGTGGAGTAGATCGAAGTCACAATAGCTCAAGTGATTAGAGCAGCGGCGTATTGAGCAGAAGGTCATGGGTTCGAATCCCGCTCGTGACAATAGCTTTTTCATCTCAACCAAGCCTTAGATTAAAAGTATAGTCAATACGGTCGATAATTAATATGGTAATTATGACTACTAAATACATGTATAGATTATATATACAGGGTGAATTGCTACTCGTGCTACAAACTTCTCCAGTAGATTCTTCACCCTAAAATGAACAAAAAAGTTCATATTGTCCATGGTCCGATTCTCAACCATTTCAGAGTAATTTCGCTTTTTATCGATTTTGAAAGATATCACGTCCTGGCGTCGGAAAATCGTGATATCTTTTAATCTAAACATTTCTCT